TAAAGCGTACTAGCAGGTTAGGAGAGGATAAACTTGGAATTCTGCCAGAATGAGTTTGGTAGTGAGGCTTGACTTTTTATTATAGTGAAGATTCAAAGGTGACAAGGAGTGATAGAACTGGAAGGTATGGATAAAGACGTTCAAGAAAGAGCAAAGTGGATTTGAAGGGAAATTTGATGGTTAGGAGAAAGTAGTTTGTATGTGTTATTTTGCTAATTTGAGAGTCTTGAGGACCCATAACCTATGTCTATTCATTCACCATTTTTTTGATCAACTGGAAGCCCATGAGAAGCGGTCCGGTTTATATTTATTTACCAATTTAGGTTGTTCTAAATAGAGGGAACTGCTCTTCAATGGAGCCTATTCTTGTTTTTTCACTCTTTATATTATGTATCAGTACATCTAAATTTCATGTCAAAACTTATGTCTTGATCTCTTGTTCCATCCTTCTCTCCAGGTCAATCACACAAAGAGGGAACTGCATAATGTTTTTATCAGGAAACTTTACAGGTATGAAGAAATTATCGTTCTATAAGTATTATTCATTTCATTGTTTAATTCCTTTTGTCATCAAAAGTTAGGTACTATAGTATTCTTTCTTAAGATTCCTAGTGCTATATTGCCGAACTGTTATTAGTTAGATTTGTAAAACCGACATTAAGAATACTTCAAAATTATTAATTATTCTAAGCAGAGAAAACCTATTCGAAGACCTGCTGAAGGAGCCTGATGATATAATGGCAAAGAGAAAACGCATCCGAGAAACTCTCCAAGTATTGCAACAGGCTAATAAGGTTGGTCTTTCCGTTTCCTACCAAATTGAATTTCTGTCTGATTGTCTGCAAAAGCATATTCTCGAAAATGCATGCTATTATATGCTGATATACCCATTTATTTTGCTTGTTTTACTTTTTGGCTATTAAGACACTGGATGAGATACCACTTGATGCTGAAACTGCTGAGAAAGGCTATGGTCTCGACACCGATTCAACTGGCTTGCCAAAAATCCAGGGGCTCCCTTCATCTTTCTATGCACCAAACAGTGACTTTAGTCCTTCATATATGCCCTCGCCCACAAAATCAAGACACAGGAAAGCTCATTCAGGAGAGCAGCCGTCACCAATGCACTCGAATGCAGATTCTAATGGAAGTGGATACCATTCTGGATTTGTACCATATCCTAAAATTGAGCCCTGGTAGTGGGCTATATCTGAACTCTATAGTGGCATTCAAGCGGGCAGTTCTTTTTGGTCCAGTCATGACATTGTTGCTGATGGCAACAGCAGCTTATGCACGTCGATATTTGCCTGAGTGTATAGTAGATGGAGTCCATTTTTCACTGACCACGATATAATCATATCCAGATTTAGATATGTTCCAATGGTTTTTCTCGTTTTGAAAAAAGATCTCTCTGGTAAGCACTAAGCACTCAGTTCAATGTTGCAAGTTCATATCAAGTGTAAAAAGCCCAACAAATTGAATTATGCTATCCTCCCTGTGCTGCAGGTTCGTATCACTGGTGAACAACTGAGTGATGAATCAATTTTGTTCGTAAGCTACATTACCTTTGCTCTTGTAACCCTCTTGAAACTGTGAGCCTTGTTTGAAGTTGTTTGTTACTCCATTGCTTTCTCCCCAAAACTAGCGGCTACCAATCACTCATGTTTGGTAGAAAAGCTGGTCTATTTGCAGTAAGGTTCAACATTTTTTTGGTGAGATGTCTTTTTCATATTATGATTTGGTCACGTTTATTATCCATCTAAATTAAAACCAATATGAACACTAGAGAGCAGCTTAAGTGGGCAGGTGCTAAGATTTTCCCATGCTTATTTCAATGTATTGTTAATTTGTTATACATTTAGAATTGGCTTATTGCTCGTCCACATGAGCTGACATCAACTTTGATGGAAATTGTACTTAAACCTCTATTAGCGTCTATTTTCCGTCGTTGATTCCATTTGAGCAATTATTAATAGCCGGTGTTTATTTATGGCGGTGGACCTTCTATGACCTGTTTCCTGTGTTATTTAAGAGCACGTTGATATTGTTCTTTTTGTGTCAAGATCTAGAACGCGCGCAACTACTTTGTTGTTTTCGGCCGTGTTACAATTATTCTATATTAAGTAGGCCGATATATCCGCATATAATTTAGGGGATGGGTTGTATCGTGCATTTATAGCTGTATATAAATGCTTTCCGACTTTGGGCGAGGTGAGTGAAATGCTTTCCTATATCCATTTAATTTGCACAAAAGAGATGCCACTTTTTAGATTAGTACACTATGGTTCTCATGCATAGATTCAAAGATTAATCTCTCTTTTTGTGCATATTTAGTTTTAATTTTAGGGACCAAGTCCACCGGATACTTTTTAGAGGTTGAGACCAGGGACCCTTCTTAATTCCATCATTGTTGTCAGATATGCAATATATATATATATATATATGGGAAAAGTATTCCTAAGGTGACGTCTTAGATAATCATCTAAGGACGCGGCCTTAAATCACATGATTGAGCTACATTGTGGATGATCCGTTCCGTTAAACTTGATCTACATATTCTAAAACCCCAACACACCAAGTTTGGGATGAACTCATCGTCGTTTGACCATCCGCCGAGCCATGTGAAAAGTTAGTTCTATTCATTCGAAATCGTTAAAATTGATACGAGTGGATGAAGGGTCAAACGACGACGGGTTCACTCCAAACTTAGTGTGTTGGGGTTTTAGAATATGTAGATCAAGTTCAACGGAGCGGATCATCCACAATATAGTTCAATCATGTGATTTTAGGCCGCATCCTTAGATGATTATCTAAGGCGTCACCTTAGTCAATTTTATTGCAGTGAATTATGGCTTAGTTCGAAGGTTTTGTTGATGGCAAATGAAGCTACTGTTAAATGTTTATTCCCAAGTGGTTCTTACAGGTTGATGTTTTCCTCCAATAGCAATTCATTATATTTTAAATTAGAAGAAAAATGTAAGAGATGGATTGAGGGTTGTAATCTTCTCTGATGATGTTTTTTGTAACTCAAGTTTTTGTGCTGAGTTTGTGATGTAACCCAAATGTATCAATGATCTCATGCCATTCATTTTTCATATCAACTTCTACATTAATCAAGTTCCAACCATAGTAACGCAATGTTACTATTAAAGTTTCATAATGTTTGAATAATTTTTAGAAATAATGGTTCCGTTTTTCTTTTTTTTGGGCCTCCGTTTCATAAATAGTGATAGGATTGGTGATCTTAGTATTAAAAAATAGATGTGAAATTAGTTGCATATTAAAAATTTATGCACATGAAAACATATTTAGTGGATGATTGTTTAAAACTACATGTAATGTGCAGTTAGCATATGTTCTATGTGAAGAATGTATTTAATAAATGATTGTAAAATTGGTGAGTAAAAAATTACTTGGCCTTCAAATATTTTAACTCTTGTAGTTTCTTAATATGCATCACGTGCAACGCACGTATTGCATACTAGTATATATATATGTGTGTGTGTGTGTGTGTGTGTGTGTGTGTTTTATGTGTGTGTGTGCATGCATGTAATGATATTGAATTTTTGATACTAGTTAAAATAATTTTTTAGTATTTTAAAATATTTAATTATGATTTTTAAAAAAATATTTGTATTTTTCCCAAATTTCTAAAAAATTCTACGATTTAAAAGTCCAAATCTTATATTTATTTAAATAATTTTAATATTTATAAATTAATTTCGTGCGGAGAAAATTTCTAGAATTAATCTGTTGTGTTATCAATACTATTACGTATCATTTTAAATAATATGTTGTATTATTTCTACTATTACGTATCAACTATCGTATTAGCTTAACTGGTACATTTTATTATGTAGAAAGTTATCCTATAATTATTTAATTTTATATATAAGTAATTATATTTTTTATTAATTATTCTTGTTTAATTGTACAATTTCTTGTATTATTTTTACTGTTGCATATTATCAGTTGTCTTACTACAACTGGTACGTTTTGATGTGTAGTTAATTTTCACATAATTATTTAATATTTTTCATGATTATTATTATTTTTAATTAATTTTTAAAAACCCTAAATTCCCTTATATATATATATATATATATATATATAGAGAGAGAGAGAGAGAGAGAGAGATTAATGGGTATCCTTGTCATAGGAGGGGATTTCCTCCTTGACGCCTCTAAAATCACATGATTGAGCGACATTGTGGATGATCCGCTCCGTTGAACTTGATCTACATATTCTAAAACCCCAACACACCAAGTTTGGGGTGAACCCGTCGTCGTTTGACCCTTCCTCCACTCGTATCAATTTTAACGGTTTTGAATGAATAGAACTTTTCATACGAGTGGATGAAGGGTCAAACGACGACAGGTTCACCCCAAACTTGGTGTGTTGGGGTTTTAGAATATGTAGATCAAGTTCAACGGAGCGGATCATCCATAATGTCGCTCAATCATGTGATTTTAGAGGCGTCAATGAGGAAATCCCCTCCTATGACAAGGATACTCATTAATCTCTCTCTATCTATCTATATATATATATTAGGGAAAAGTGAATCTAAGGTGACACCCTAGGCTCCCACCTAAGGACGCGGCCTAAAATCACATCATTTCCTAATTTTTTTTTGCGATCCGCTCCGTTGAACTTGATCTACACGTTCTTAAACCCAAACACACCAATTTTGGGGTGAACCCGTCGTGTTTTGACCCTTTATCCACTCGCTGCAATTTTAACGGTTTCGAATGAATAGAACTTTTTACACGGCTCATTTCGAATGAATAGAACTTTCAATTTTAACGGTTTCGAATGAATAGAACTTTTTGCACGGCTCAACGAATGGTCAAAACACAACGGGTTCACCCCAAAATTGGTGTGTTTGGGTTTAAGAACGTACAGATCAAGTTCAACGGAGCGGATCGTAAAAAAAAATTAGGAAATGATGTGATTTTATGCCGCGTCCTTAGGTGGGAGTCTAGGGTGTCACCTTAGATTCACTTTTCCCATATAATATATATATATATATATATATATAATATATATATATATATTATAGAGAGAGAGAGGAGAGGAGAGAGCAAGACTCCTATCAACTTTAGTTTGATGTCCACCAAAGTTTGTACGCCACATATTTTATTAATATAAAACACCTTTTATATAAATACATGGATCCCTAGGCAATATGAGTGGTTAAAAACTTTGGTGGACACAACTATTCCCTATCCACTTAAGTTGACACAAGTTTTTCACCTTAATATATATATATATATATATATAATATATATATAATATATATATTCATATATATATATATTACCTTTTAGGATTTAGAGTGGTGTTAGGGGCACACCCCCTACCACACCATCAACCACACCCCCCTCTCCCATCGCTACAGTAAACCGGGTCCCACATGGGATTTTAAAAATTTTAAAATCACATGTGGGGCCCGGTTTACTGTAGCGATGGGAGAGGGGGGTGTGGTTGGGGGGGTGTTAGGGGGTGTGCCCCTAACATTATTTTTAGATTTAAGTGTTGGCTTGGATTAAATGAGCTCAACTTCAGGGCGTGATCATTCGTTCATTCACTTGATGTCTATTAATTTAGTTAGTTGCTCTATAGCCTAGATTCTCTTAGTTGTGTGAATATGATGAGTTTTATCAAAGCCTAGCTCAAATCAACCCTCGTGTTGTCCTTTTTCTCATTTTCTTTTAGTTTTGTGTAAATTACAGATTACCCCTATCGTAGGAAATCTTCCTAAAAGTGTGATAGTGATATTTGGCTTACCTGAGTATTTATTTCAAGATAATCACAATTTTTTAAAAGTAACGTTTAATATGTGAAATAGGGGTAGGGTTACGATATACGTAGGTTGTAACTAAGTTATGCACACATACAAAAATACACCTCTACTCATGATTATTAACGATCCATATTGTTCATTGTTATAGCTAATCATGTGGTTTGGAGTATTCTATCCCATAATTCAAACAATTCAAAATAATCAACATTTTAGACCGTTACAGACCGTTTATTTTTGGGTCATTAGATGTAGAAACTTGAAATATTTAATCGATATAATTTTTTATCAATTATAAAGTATTTAATTCATAGATCACAATGAGCAGCGTGGATCATTAATAGTCACGGCAAGCATGCATGTGTGTGTAACTTAGTTATATCATGTATGCATTGTAACCCTACCCGTAAAATAAAAGGCATATTACATATAATTGTCACATCCTATTGCTGATTAATGTGTTATTCTTGAACCTTATGTCGGGAAGGTTAGGATTTATGTAGCTATATTCAAAAAATTGAGATAAAACCTTGCTGCTATTGGAAAAAGTTTCATATACATGCCACAAAATCAGTTATTATTGAATTTGCATTACACACACACGTATGTATATATGTATTGCAAATAGCAAATGGAATCCCTCCTTTATATATATAAAGAGAAATTGATGGGTCACAAAAAAGATAAATTAGGGGTTTATCTGAACTCCCAACGTGGCAATTAGTGGTTAAAGGAGGGGTAATTAGTTTAAGTTATTGATTATGAAAAGATTATTAATAATTATAAAAGTTGGCATTTAATATAAAAAATTTAAAATTCGAAATTAGGATGTACAATGGATATTTGAACTTTTGTATAAAGAGATTTGATTGGAAAAGAACATTCTCTTTTAAAATATTTATCCTTCCCTAAACTATACTTAGAATCAATTAATATTTAAAAATAATTGAAAGGATAAAATTTATTATTTATCCCTAATTTCAACTAATTCCACACGGCGACTTTGAGTTAAATTATACTAAAATCCCTATAAGTTTTGGTGCTTTCCTGAAAAAGTTTGAAAAAGATCTTGGGAATTTTAGAACAAAAAAATTTACATTAAACCCTCGTAATAGCATTACCCCACAATTTTACATAGACCAAAATACCATCAAGAC